ACGAAACGTCGATAAAGACCACAGCGCCACTGGTAGAGAAAATTATTGCACAAGCCTACGAATTTCCAGATGACTCTGTTATTCACACACTGCAGCAGAATGCGCGAAATGAAAAGAACGAAGTACTTCAGGCTAAACGGGATGGTATTAAGAACTCTCTACCCCCGAAAACACGGCGTGCTATGGAACTAGCAACTGAAAAAGGTGCATCCAACTGGCTAACAGTTATCCCCATTAAGGAAATGGACTACAATCTGAACAAGGGTGAGTTTCGAGACGCAGTAAATCTGAGATATGAGTGGAAAATTGCTGATAAGCCATCGATTAGTATGCGTGTGTGGCGATACTTTCAATATTGATCACGCAATGATCTGCAAGCGAGGTGCGTTCATCATACAGCGCCACAACGAGCTGCGGGATCTTGAGGCTGATATGCTTAACATCGTCTGTAATGATGTCGAGGTTGAACCCGTTCTTCAAGAGTTAACTGGCAAGGTTTTACCAAGAGAAGCAAATACAGCATCCGACGCTCGCCTAGATATCCACGCTCGAGGGTTTTGGGAGAAACAAAGGTCCGCGTTCTTTGACGTTAGGGTTTGTCACCCCAACGCGGAATCCTACAAAGACCTGAGCCCTCAACAGATATACAGGCAACATGAAATCGAGAAGAAGAGGATGTATGCCCAAAGAGTGATGGAGATAGAACACGGAACTTTTACACCATTAGTATTTACAACGACTGGAGGCATGAGTGAAGAGTGCAAGAGGTATCATAGCAGATTGGCCGAGCTCATAGCAGCGAAGAAAGGCGAAGACTACTCTACGACCATGTCCTGGATACGAGCCAAGGTCTCCTTTGCCATCTTGCGGTCAGCTCTACTTTGTCTCAGAGGGACTAGAGCACCCAGGAGGATAACAACGAACGTTCAAGAAACGGACTTCGAAGTAGACAATTCTCGTGCCAAAATTTAGGCTTAGACTTTTAGCATAAATTAACTGCTTACTATAACATATACTATAACATACTACAACAATTTAGATTTTATAAATTATTATTATTATTTTTATTATTATCTTAGTTTTATATTCCTGTAATATAGTTTTATCAATAAATTATTATTAAAAAAATTATTATTATTATTATTATTATTATTATTATTGGAAGTATTCCCCGCAGAGCTTTTCAATACTTATTTACAAATGATACTTTTTACAGCTTAATTAATGTTTATAAAAATTATTACAGAAGGAATTTATAAAAAGTTTAAATGTAGCGCAATAAAATAAATTTCAATAAGAATAAGTTTCTTGCATGCATGTTAAAACTAGTGTTTATATATACTATAAATATTTAAGTTTCAAAATATCGATTTAGTAAGAAGAACTCTTTTCATTTGATTTTAAATGTTGCTAATGGGAGTTTTTTCAACTCATTGTCTAAACTATTCCATAACCCAACAGCTCTATATCGAAAACTTCTTTGTCCTGTTGTGGTTGAGCATAGGGAAATATGTAGTGCTTCATTGTTTCTTGTGGCGCGATTGTTTAGTTCCTTACGCCCAAAATCACTCACAAATCTATTTTCGTTTAAGGGTGAGAAAACTAATTACCACCTTCGGGATGTCTCAAGTGGTCTTTATTTACCAAAACACGTACAAATAGCATGAAAAATAGTTTTATGTACGACGGAGCAAACATTTGGAATTCTATACCAAAAAAAAATGGGAAAGCAAGTCACTTTCTTTCTTTCGAAATAAAATCGCTGCTCACATTAGTGCTTGGTAACCTTTGTAAATATAACTTACCTGTAAATAGCTCAAAACATTTGTTATGTCTTTTAAATTTATATATTACCGTAATAGCTTAGCTTATCCTTATCATATTCTGCATGTAAAATAATTTTCTGACACACGCCCCCCGTGGAAATCAGCTACGGTTGACGGGGTCAGCGTGGATAAATAAAGTTCTACTACTACTACTACAGATATGTTGGAGCGACACTATTTATACATTTGTAGATCATGACCAAATCTTTGAACAACAGGTGCTCTTTAACAGGGAGCCAACCGATATCTTTAAGGATTGGTGTAATATGATCATATTTTTTCCCATGAGACCATGAGACCATATATGCATATTGTTTGTAAAATTTCCGAATTCTAAAGACTTTATCATGTTGTCACTATTAATCACAATTTCGATATGAAGCTATATATCGACATAGATCACTAGAGACTAGAGGAATAGGGATTGCCCAACGTACTATCGCATCGTGCGAAAATATGTTTGCTGATTTACAAAGTTTTCATTATCGTTCAGACCTATGTCCAACTATTTTCACAGAAAATTTTTGAATCTTGAAGACCTTAAAACTTCTCCAGACACAAGAGAATACATTAATTATTCGTTCAGCCTTCAGATCCCCCAAAACAGAGGCAGAGCCATAAAAAAATTTCTAGCCATCCATTTTCTATTTATTTAAATTAAAATCGTTTTAATTTATCTCTGTTTTTGCTCTGGCTCGCCGTGTTATGCTTCAATACTGAAATTTCGTCAATATGTCCGCGCTATAAATCTCGTAATTCATTTGATTCACGATCAGATTTAAATACCCTTCATAAATACCTTTGCCCTTTGGTCGTAATATACTGTATTGAGTAGCGTAATGCCAATGTCTATAGACGCCTGTTGCAGTTTTACCTTTTGGGAATTGTGTTCTTTCATGCAAATTCGTGCATCACGAGACTGTCAAGTCATCAAATTCCATTGAAAATGCACAATATAAATAGCGGCCAGGGCGACTTCCAAAGTAATATTAGTTATAATATTCTTCGAATATTTCGAGTTTTAGTCCCCAAGCCAACGGCGTGGAGCGTTAACGGGGGTCGGGAATTTGCCTGTCATATTGTTGCCCGCTCACTAAATTCTCGATCTATTCCATAATTCAAGTATTAAAACAGTAGAAAGCACAATTTATTTCGTAAAACAATGTGAACACATGAAAATCTGTTTGTCTGTCCTTTCTCGTTACCACAGTAACTGTCACAACTGCATGATGCAATAGTTCCTATTTAACTAATGATACATGCATGACGTATTGCTAATGGGCATCCTACAATATACGTTCACCAGGGCCGAGTATTTTCATAGTAGCTGAGACCCCCGGGATTTGACAAATGGTTTCACTTTTACGAAAATTATTACCTGTGCCATGCGAATTTAAATACAACTATTAAAGGTTTATGATTTCGTTGTTTAAATCCTTTTAACCAGCAAGATTCATGTTTATATGAAAGTCATTTTATAATATTCCATAGCAGTTTAAAAGTATGTTATTAAATCAACTGTGTCTATAAAGTTTTAAAATCGTCCCCGGGGTGGGGCATTTTCCACTCTCAGCTTGCCCAAGGACCGTGCATTAGTCTTTTAGTTGTGTCCCTGCACCCGGGCATTTGCACTATCGTAACCAATCAAATCAAATTCCCGGGTGTGTTCC